CAAATGAATCTCCCCAAGGATGGGACTTTGGGCAGTATTTATGGGGTTGAGAACAAATGCATAAGATACAAATTGATAGGCTGCTGATACCCAAAATCCACATAATGGGGACCCTTGACATTTATCAAAGAGAATTTTTTTAATGCAGATTTTTTATTTATAGGTTAACTATTTTTAAAGATTTATTTATTTATGGGGTACAGGCCAGATGTACAAAGGATGAGAGGGTTCACCAGAGACAGAGTGGGAAGCAGAGCAGGCAGATTGACGGAATTAACACTGCTGAAGGGAGCAGTGGGTTGGTCAGTCGAGGTCTGCTGCACCACGTGGGTCAGCTCCCTGGCTGGGAATTGAACTCTTGTTGCAGTGGCTGTGGATCACTTTATAGTGCTGTGCTTTAACCAGTTGCGCCACCAGGAAGTGCCCTGCTTCTTTATATTTTTGCATTCATCAGTGTCATTTACTAGTAGTCAAGAAGCATTCCCTACACTGTCATGTTTATGGCATAGTCTACTGGTTTTGGAACGCAGGTTGGTTTCTAGGTTAAGCACAGAGTGGGTGTCCAGAAACAGACCCAGGGGCACTGTGGGGCCTCCAAATTTGCATTCTCTTAACGGGGTTAGGCCATCTCTTTGCGTACTTTTAGCTTCAAAGCCTTTTAAATTTTGAAATAAGAGAAGAAAGGATAGTATTGGGCTCTCGGAAAAGTCACGACAGATTTTTTTTTCTATGTGTTTTCAGCAAAAACATGTCATGATTTTTCTGATTACCTCATAGTTTCCCAATAAAAAAAAAAAATCCATGTTACCCATCCCTCATGGGTAAATGTCCAGCCAAACAGGGCTGGTCCATAGCAGGGCTGCTGAGGCCTGAGAGCTGCCACGCATCCCAAGGCACCTGTCGACGTGGAGTCACAGGAAGGGGCCTAAAGGGACCAGTCAAGTCTGGAATGACAGCAGCGAAATCAAGAAAATAGCTGCCATTTTCAGCCTCCCTCACTGTCTTTTTCAGGTGTCTCTTCATGTCTCTCCTCTGCTTCTCTCCTCCAAGCCCCTCAAGTTCTTGTGCAAGTCCAAAGCCAAGAAGCCAGCACATGTCATCTGCATGTGTCTCTCAAGCCCATCTGCCTTCTGTGTCGGATCACTTCAGCTGGCTGCTCTGTCTCACCCCATCATTACTGAGGACTGGGAACATGATCCCTCCACCAAATAGGTAGAATTGCAGGTTAAGCTGAATTAAGCATAACTGTCCGTGGTCAGAGCCATTAGGCGGACCCTTTTATGTATGACATATGGCTCTAAGTGACTATACAAGGTCAAGAATCTGTCTCACCCGCGAGATTAAGCCCCTCTCAGGAGGTACTTTTATCCCATACCTACCAAGAAAGTATCATTAGAAGATTGAGTGATTACATTTAAAATGTATTTAGATGGTCAAGGAAGCAGAGACACTGGTCTAGGGCATGGATGCAGGCACCGATTTCTTTGGACCTGGAGAGTCAGGAGTACTGGCCCCGCAAATCCCAGACTTGGGCCTTCATCTCTGCAGCCAGGACCTGTGAGAGCTCCATCGCCTTCATTTAGCTCCACTCTTCATTAACACTTCTCTTTAACATTGTCTTTCCCTTCTTTACAGGTAAGAGCTCTACTTTAAAAAGCTCTCGTGATCAAGGTGACCATTTGCCTTTTCCCTGTGAGCGTAACTGCATTGTTGCCTATTTTCAAGGGGTTGCCCAGAGATTTCTGATGGTGAGAAAGAGCAACTCCTCTCTGAGGTATTACCTGCCGTGACAGCCTCCCGCAGTGCAGCGAGAGTGAAGTCAGCCTCAGAGAAGGCTCGGTTCTCACCAGCCTTACCCACGCTGCTTAGACCCTCTCACTTACATTCCCTGCTCAATTTTTACATCATGAGGAAGCCAGATCAAAAGGATGTACTAGCAATAGACATTCATGACACTGGAGGAGATGGAGCTTTCTCCACAACCAGAACAAGTACCGTCGGAATGGGAAAAGATGGGTAGGTAAGTGAACCCCATTCTTCTGTTGCTAGGTTTTGCCCTGTGCTCTAACTAACCGGCCTGTCTCTCTCCTGAGACTGGGTTACAGTCTAGTAGCCCATGTCACCATGGCTCACTTTTTCTTTCCCTTCACAACTGTCGCCTGTGTGTTTCAGTCATTTGTCTTTTATTTGCCTTTATTTTTGGTTTAGTGATTCAGGTTGCTTCCTGACCTACCTCAAGTTGTGGTATTTCTAGCCTCTGCAGATACTACTGTTCTACCACTTTCTTGTCCCTGACACCATCTCAAAACTGGGTACCATCTATCTTCATACTGAATGGATTTCCATTTTCAATGCTGATAAATAATTAAGAGGTAAAGGTCTACCTACTCTTTTTTTTTTCTTAGATTATTTATTTATGCACACAAGAGCTGGAGTACAGGCCAGAGTTGCTGGAGGAGAGCGGATTCACCAGAGAGATTAGGGAGTAGAATAGGCACATTGACAGAACTGCCCTGCTGAGGGGAGCAGCAGGAAGGACAGGAGAGGTCTGCTGTGCCATGTGGGTCACCTCCCTGGCCAGGGATTGAACTCCTGCTGCAGTGGCTACAGACAGCTTTGTGTGCTGCTTGGTAACCCCTTGTGCCACGGGAAGACCCCCTACTCTTCTTTTTTTTTTTTATGGTTTATTTTTACATCATTTTGTGCCTTTTTCCATCTCAGTTGTAATCTCCATCTAATCTTCTTTTTAATGATAGCTCCTTAGCAAGTTTTCACCAATTACATTGTCCACCCCGTTTTCTAAGTGATTGCCCAAACACTGCACAAAAGAATGAAATCTGTGTGTCCTCCATTGTGTGCACTTATAATCTCCTCGTAGAAAAACTCTTAATTGGACTGGAATGGTTAATTTGCTTTCAAGCCAGACTGCTTTTTTTACTTTTTGTGAAACATTGGACATTTATGCTGTCTCCTGCTCTCCTGCATCCCAGCCACCATCCACAGTTCCCAGGCAGTCATCCCTCTCCCTCCCTCCTTCCAGAGTCAAGGCTCTTCTGTGCTCTTGTCTTGCAATGTGGGTAATTTATTTGTAGTCTGGTTCCCAGACTATTTATAATTAAAAAGAAACTCTACATAGCTTTAAAAAGAAAGAAAGAAAGCCAGTGGCCTGGTGATGACAATATTCCCCTCCCTTTTCATCAGGGCTGTGCCACGACCCACATCATAACCTTGAACTTTTGCCCCTTGATCCTCTTGTACAAGTTGTGTCAACCAGTTTTTTCCCTGTCCTCCCTTTTCTTGTGAAAATCAAAAGTTAGCTTTTCAGAATACTTTTTCCTTGTGTCCCAGGTCTCAGTCCATTCTCTGATTCCATAATTTCTACATGGGTGAAAAATTTTCATCATGAATCACGACTTCACTTGTTGAAACTTTTCCCTTTGTGCTAGAACGTGATAGATACGTGTTGACTGGATAGGTTGATGGAGCGTGTTGCTACCTGAGAATCCCCTTGGGTGAGCAGGTGCTTGGCAAGAGTGAGGGGGCATTGAGCTTAAGATTTCCAAGGTGCAACATCAGTTCACTGCCACAGGATACAGAGGGCCACTTACACAAGATGGCTTGAATGGCCTGGAGAACTTAGAAAATGTTGAAAAAGAAAATCGGAAGAGACATGCTAGGTAGACTTACTATTGAAATATCTAGTTAGAGATTATAGATGATAAGGGAATATGCACATTGAAATGTGTGTAACACGGATGTCTTTTCACACTTAGGTTTGGATTAAAATTTACTCATTTTTGCCAACATTTCCAAGACACTGTCCTGTGTTTATCAGGCACCAGGTTTCAGTTTGTCCCATTGCATTTAGGTTAGCTTCACGCAGTTGGCTCAGGGTTCTCTGCAGTGTCCTCCACTACAAAATCAGTGAGCTTCCTGTTACCATAAAGGTGATGGAGAGAGAGTTACTGAGAGATGGATAGAAACCATCTCATTTAACATGAAAACAATTCTTATTAGATTGCTTTTTTGATTTGGAAAATGAAGGTTCTTAGGAGATACTGCCTTTTTTTTTTTTTAAAGAATTATTTATTTATTCATACAGAACTGGGGTACAGGCCAGAGATGCGAAGGGTGAGAGGATTCACCAGAGACAGAGTGGGGAGCAGAACAGGCAGATCTATGAAGTACACTGCTGAGAGGAGCAGCGGGCCGGTCAAGAGAGGTCTGCCACAGCATGTGGTCACCTCCAGGGCAGGTGGGAATTGAACTCATGTGGAAGTGGCTTAAGCTTCTTAGTGCTGTGCTTTAACCCGCTGCGCCAACAGGGAGGGCCCGATACTGCCTTTTGTAAGTGAAAATTACCAGGCCTCAGTCATGTCAGTTTCCAATACATAATACACTAAAGTATTTAACACACTAACACTGTAGCCTTCAGAGGAGAAAAATTATATAATCTATCTAAGTATGAATGGTAAACAAAAAGTGTTAAAGTGGCTCAGTAGCAAGTACTCTTATTTAGTTGCTGCTATTCCCATGTTTGTCCCCTGGCATTTTTGAGAAATACAGATACATTATTCACAGATACAACTCTCAGTTTATGAAGTTAAAATAACATGATTTCATTGATAAGAAGAGTATGTACTCTCACTTTGTGGGAAGTCCCATATCTGTGTGCATCTGCATGTAAGAGACGCACATGATTTCATTCTGTTATACCTGTTCCCATTTTTCATCACAGGACATGCCATGAACAAATTGCAGTCTCCAAAGCTTTGACTGAGTCTAAATCAACTCAGTCATTTGCAAATGATAATTTGTTCTTGTCTAGCTACTCACTAAAAGTATTTACTTGACCTTAGTCTTTTGGGCACTCAGAGACGGAGAACATTTAACGCTAACCAGGTATTTCTTCCTTTATGTCTTTGCTATTTGATTAATGAGGGAGGATAAGTTTTTTATAGTTGAAAGAAGCTGTAAATAATTTTGACGTTATTCTGTTGCAGAATACGGCTGAAGCCTGGAAGACTTCAGGGTACCCAGGGTACACCAGACGACCTGGGTGACTCCTTCAGGTATCTGGTAGAGATTACTGACAGTTTGATTACAACATCTGAGGCCCGACAGGTCTGAATGTGGCCAAGTAAGGTCACTTAAAATTCTGGCAATCACATCTGATACTTGCTTGAGTCTGGCTGTGTGCTGCCTGAGTTTGGTTGTGTTTTAGAACACCTGACCTAAGCTCTTAATAGCCAGCTCAAAGCTGTGTGTGTGTGTGTGTGTGTGTGTGTGTGTGTGTGTGTGTGTGACTAGATCTGGATTTCAAGTCAAAAGGGTCAGTTTGGTTTTGCAGAGTGTTGCATGATGCAATGAAATCTCATAGAATTGTTATGCCCTGTAGAAACACAGCCCTCCTAGAATGAAAAGCTTCACGTATCTCCAGATGGAGCCATTTCTCCATTTGTGTGAAAATGCTCACGTAAGTCAATACTGTGACATATTTTCTATTTTAGGTCAGCTGGAGACCCTGATACTGGAGTTGATGGAGCTCAGATTGAAAAAGATGCTCAGGTAAATGAGGCTTAATATGTGATTACATTTAGTATGACATCTATGTGAGAGAAGATTCCATGTTAATAAAAGATGATATTTGGTGTAATAGCATCTACAAATAATCTCTTTACATGTGTGTCATTATCAAACCATAAGACCCATGCACGTACAGTTTTCTCATTTTGATCTGCCAACAAAATATTTTATTCCAAAATTCAAATGAAATATAATAAATTGCAAATAAACAGTGAGTCCCATCTAGATATGTTACTTTTTTCCAATTGTGGAACATTTGTAAAACAATTTTTAAAAATTAGTATTATTTTTCTAAAAAGACACAATGAGGCGTGATTGCCGAAGATGGAGAAAGCATATTGGGGTGATAAAAGATGTTTAATCATACAATAGATGACAAGTTAATATATTGGGAAGTTTTTCCACCTTCAGTGGAACAGTCAGTAGGATTGTTCTTTTGTCACCTGCTTCATCGTGACACCCAGATAACGTGTTGCACTTTGGAGGCTTCTGAATTCCAGTGTAGTATCTGTATGGTTTATAAAGTATTAAATGCAGGAATTGATCAGAAAACTGGAAGCCTGAAACTGGGGGATGTGGCAGTGGTAACAAAGGCAGCATCACAGGTCATGGCCATGTCTTTGTGGTCACACGTGTTAGTAAAATCCCAAGCTCTAGGCCCTCCCTGGTGGCGCAGCGGGTTAAAGCACTGCACTAAGAAGCTTAAGCCACTTCTGCATGAGTTCAATTCCCACCTGCCCCTGAGGAGATCCACATGGCGTGGCAGACCTCTCCTGACCCGCCCACTGCTCCCCTCAGCAGTGTAC